CTATTCAACGGTCGAAATATTTGAATTTTACACTTAGGGAACTGATTCCCCCTATGGGGTACCGATTCCCCCACGCTCCAAGCTGTTTTATTAATTGTTTTCACACTAAAACGGCTATATTATCTTCATTAATGATCCCCAATGTTCAGAAGTGATTCAAGGTATATTTAAGCAAGCTTAGAAGCCATTGATCAAGAACAAGAAACATCAAGCAACTAAAATCAAGAGAGAATCAAAGAGAAAGCATCAAACCTCAAGTTTGAGCATTTCAAGCCTATTTTTCATTCAATATTCATTTTGCTTTCAAGAACACTTATTGTGCTCAATTGTATTCATTCTTGAGTGTTCTTTTCTTTGTTCTAGAATTATGCAAACAATCTACCTTGTGAGGATTTCCTTGTAAGTTTGCAAATTTATATTGTTCTCTTTAGGAGAGAGTGTTCTCAATAATTTGGGGTATAATTCTTGAGGGTTTGTAAGGTTACTCTTTGTCCTCAAAAGAAAGACAAATTAGTGAATTTGTGAAAAATCCTTAGTGTGGATAGCTAAGGTAGTGGACGTAGACTTTGGTTGAGAAAGTCAAACCACTTTAAATCGCTGTGCAATTTCTTTCAATTTTCTGCAAAAGCTTCCACCAAAATTTTTTATTGCCAATTCACCCCCTCTTGGCCGATTCCGTCAATCGATTAACTCAACATCATGCCAGTTTCGGTTTCTATCATGCATATCATATTTCAACCGAGACTCAGTCGACTTAGGTTGGAGGTTCATTGAATACAATGCAACACACTCAAACATCTTCGACAGAACATGCAGTTGAGGGTGAACGGGATCATATTGTATATGGCCAACAACATAGTAGCCAAGTCGATTTAGTAACGACAATGATAGCGTCAAATACCATAAGCCATCATCGTATTTCGAAGGTGGATCTCAGAGCGTGAGAAGTACACCTCCTTGGCAATATGAAGACGAAGACGACAATGATCAAGGTCGATGACCTCGACGTACTCGACAGTCACATGCCATTATCATTCGACCACTCCTCGGCATCGTCAAGAACATAAAAAATAGAAATAAATTTTAGTAGTTTGTAAACAATGATATTTTAATTAAAAACATTTTTTTTTATTTTTTTAAATTTAACCTGGGTGAACTCGTCACCTCTATGTGACGAGTTATGTTGACCAACGATTAGTTTTTAATGGAATTATCACCCCGGTGTACTCTTTTTTTATTTCTAATTTTAATTTTCTCAATAATAAAAAAAATTAATTGACTCGTCAACTCGACGTGATGAGTCCGCTTAAAAACAATAAATTAATGCCCCACATGAGACCTACTCATCCGAGTCCATTAAAAAATAATGTTACATGAAACTCGTCACCTTGAGGTGACTAGTTCGGCCGACACTGTATCAAATGCCGTAGATTCCTAATTAAAATTGGAGGATGGGTAAAACCCTAAATAATAAATCCAAAAGCCCTATTGGGTCAAAAAAGCCCAAGATATCAATCTCCAGATCTTAGGTAATTTCTCGGCCCAAAACATAAAAGAAATACTAACAATATGCTCAAGTTGCTGTTCAATTCTATGGTTTACAATCATAAATTGTTATGTCCAAATGGTGATTGATATTTATCTATTAATATTTCAGGGATATTCGATTTACAAAACATAATATTACTTTTAAGAATAAGTTTAAGATATAAAATTATTTGGCATATTATTAAAAATATTATTTGATTCATTTGGTCAATATATAAAATTATCATAATTACTAAATTATAATAGGTAACATATTTTAGTAATTCAGAAAAAAAACATATTTTTATTCTTCCCTTTTTTTTCTATCACTTTGATAAGAAAAATAGAAGCCCTGATTGTTTGTTATCGGTTCCAAATTTAATTTTTTAATATGAAAAATGTGGTACAATTTAATTCTTTAGAGAAAGGACTCATTTATAAGTAAAGTAAAATATTGAGCTTCAACCATTTATGTAGTAAGAAATTATAAAGAAGTAAATTTTAAAATAACTATTTTGTAAAATATATTTTAAAATGATTTTATATTTTTTAATCAAATAATAAAAAATGATAGTTTAATTGAATGAACCAAATATAATAATATAATATAACCAATAATAAGTATTAATCTTCACACTAACCGTATTCCTATATTCACTAAAGCTACCATATTTTTCAAATGTACTGTAAGTGGAGCAAAGATGAACCACAAATTGCTTCTGCAACAGTTTAAATCATCCTGTGGACGCACTCGGCAGGCCCTGTCGCTGCCAACATTTAAGATGTTGAACCGCATGCCAAGTGTTTGTGGAAATGAGTCAAAAAAGACAACTCGATGGTGGTCGTCAACCTAATGGAAAGCAAGAAATGGGTTGGACCCCAAAAAGAATAGGAAAAGGGAAACGAAAATTTTGCCATCTGTTATAGTAAGTGACCAAAAGAGTAAGAAACAAAGTTGAGGTGTGTTGGAAACAACGTGAGCACTAGAAACCATCCCCACACCCACACGGACGAAGAATATGAGTATGAAACACCATGTGATGCCATGGTTTTTTTCCCGACACCACCATGTGACCCATCACCTTCTTTTGAACCCAAAATCCTCCGTTTTTGCCATCCTTCCCGTGTCTGTTTTCATGCCATGATTCCTATGTGGACCTCTACCATGCACGCCATATTCATAATAAAACAAAAAAGAATGACCTTTGTTTTCTTTATCTTTAGCAGTCCACTGTAAAAAAAACTGTTTCTAAGTTTTCATTTGACGTACCATGATAACCAGATGTAGGCGTGGGATAAAAAAAACAAAAGTTTATTATATTTATGCCAATGAACCTTCTTTTTCATGGTATGTTCGTGAACCATAACAACATAGAAGAGGTATTCACAATGATCATTGGAAGAAAGATGTTCAAGCTGAATACGATGCTCTATCAGAAATAATATTTAAGCAGTCCATTGTTGAGTTACCACTAAATCGAAATTCAGTTAATTAAATGACTTTCTAGGGTAAAGTAGAGGAGATGGGTCAATTACTTGGTATACACTAGGCTTGTTGCAAAAATGTACTTGCAACAAGGTTAATATGATTTTCATGAAATTTTCGGTCAAGTAGTCACACCCATTACTGTGAGAGCTATACTTTTTGAAGATGGTGTCTATGACAACATTAACAATACCTTTCTCTATTTACACCCTCTAAAACCTGGATTTTTTTTATTACTCTTTCATTTTAAACAACATTAAAAATCTTCCTATAAAAAAAAGAAAAAGAAAAATTGTAAGTGGCAGTATCTCAGTTCAAAAGGGTACGATTTCACTGCAACCAAAATCGTCCAAATCCGCCATGGAATCTTGGGGCCACGAATCCCGAAGCAACTTGAGTAGCATTTGAGCTTTCCTCTTCGCCCTTTCCGTACAATCACTTTGAACCAACAACAGCAGCTGTGTCAGAACGCCCGCGTTCACTGCCTCCCTCTGACACTCTTCCGACTCCGAGCACAGCGCCATCAACGCACCGGCTGCGTACTCCGTCGCCCTCACCGAGATCTTTAGTATAGTTTTTACCAAAAGAGGGACCGTAAGCGCGTGCGAAGCAAACGCCGAACATCCCGACGGGACCCGACATAACAACTCTATGGTCGCCAAAGCTCGTTCGGCCTCGCATTTGTCCAAGTCGGCCAACCGGTCGATCAACGTCTCCGGTGCCCCGGCTTGAACCGCTTTGTGCCGGGTGTGTTTCACTAAGCACAAAGCGAAGAGAGCTCGAATGCCGGTTCTTAACGCGCGGGGATAAGAGTTGAGGCTCCTTAATATGTCCGTCACCCCTTCGAAGATTTCATCCACATTGATTATCTGAGCTCGGAGCTCCGACGATCTCGTTCCGGAGAGAACGATTTCGATGAGTGAAGCCGAGTTGACTCGGACTTCGATCGATGAATGGAACAACATATGCGATAAGTTTATCACTCTATCGGGATCCGAAGCGATCGACTCACACTCTGCTTCACTAAGTTGAAACATCACTAAAACCGCAAGCGCCTCCACATTCAACTCCGACGAACCCGAACCCGAACCCATATCCTTAAACAATACATTTATTAGTATTTCCCGTGCGTTATGCGAGGAAATAACGCACCGGTTTTTATCAGAATCACGAGCGAGACCCTTGAGTCGACGCAGAGCCGAAAGACGAGACTGAAACGGATTGGAAACAGACGAAGCTTGAGCCAGAAAAGTCCGAACCATGTTCGGATCGGCAGGTTGTTTAGGCGTGGGAATCCGCTGGATACCAAAAGTCTGATTGGCGACACACCAATCTTGAATAAGTCTGCGAAGGGTGTGGTTGGGGATGAAAGTGAAATCAGTGAGCGGGACACGAGTGACGGGACAAGTGGTGTTACCGGTGGCGAGCCAGGACTCGATGCTGGATCGGTCGTAGGTTTGACCGGTGCAGACGGTGACAGGGTCACGCATGAGCTCAAGTGAGATTGGGCACCTGAAATGAAAAGGAATTTGAAAACCAACCAAATCTAAAGGCTCAAGAGTGGTTCCAGGCATCTCTGAAGATTCTCTGACCGGTGCCTGTGTTTTTGGTTTGATATGAAAAGCCAGAGAGACAAGAAGGAAAGAGCTGCAATGAGAATGGTGGGACTCCGTGAAGGGGAGGGACTTATCTTATCCGACTATGGGCCACACGTGTGTCATTTATAACTGTGGAGTTTGAGTAATGTTCAGTCAGAAACAATTTTAAAAGTTTAAAATCTCAACTCCATTCGAATGTTTAAAAATTTAAAATCATTACGTTTGATTTAAACTCAAAACAAAAAATTAAATTTTAACTCGAGTTAAAAAATTTAAACTTAAAAATACTCTTATATTATTTTTTAAAAGAACAAGAAATAGGGGGGAAAAAAAGGCCACCGTGATTTTACAAAATCTTGGAGCTTTCTTGAAAACCAACGTCTGACCCTATGCAAGAGACTAACCTGCCGGTCACAGAGGTGACCCAGGCGGGAGAAACTATGACAGAAGTAGGAAATAGTAATAAACGGGCTCGTCAGTCAGCAAGAGAAGAAGTGACCGAGGAGAGGTCATGGACTAGATCTTGGAGAGACACAGTGGCAGACTCACCTATCTTTACCGGAATGTTTCATAGTTCGGCAAGAATTGAAGAAGAAAACTTCGAATCGGATGATGAAGAGGAGATCGAGGATGACGGTATACCTACAATAAAGATTCCCCCAGAGGAAAAAAAAGAATCAGAAAACCATGACGTAAAGCTCTGATCATCAAAGTCTTGGGAAAGAACATTGCCTACAAAATCTTAATCAGTAGAATTACATCCATGTAGAAACTTGAGAGCGAATTCGACTGCATTGATTTGGGAAATGGGTTCTATGCAGTTAAATTCCAGAACATGAACGATAGAGTAAAAGTCTTGACTGAAGGACCATGGAAAATCATGGATCACTACCTAACAGTTTAAAAATGGAAACCAAATTTTCTTGCAGAAAATGAAAACATACCTTCGACAGCAGTTTGGGTCCATGTTCCGGGACTCCCCATAGAATATTTCGACGAAGGCATTCTTGTCAACATTGGAAAAATCGTGGGTACCCCTCTAAAAGTTGACTATCGAACAGCATGGATGACAAGAGGAAAATTTGTTAGAATTTGCGTGGAAGTTGACTTAAACAAACCATTACTTTCTCAGATAAGAATAGGAAACACGATCTTTAACATCGAGTATGAGGGACTACACTTAATATGTTTCATGTGCGGAATGGTGGGTCATAAATCGGATGCCTGCCCTATCAAACACTTCGAAAACCCCCAAACAGAAAAGGAAAAAGTTATGCAACAAGCCTCAGAACCAAAAGAAGCCCAAGAAGAAGAATTACACAAGGAACAAGAGCGAGAAGAAAAAAACAGTAAAGAAGGGAGATATGAACCATGGATGATGGTCCAAAGGCGCCAAAAAGAAACACGCGGAAGTAACAGGAAGGAATACAACATTAATCAAACAGACCATAAAGGAAACCGCTTTCAAGCGTTAGGAGAAAGAGACGATAACGAAAATATCAGAGGGGAGGAAAAAATGGAAAATGACAAGGGAACAGAGGAAGAACAATTCCTTAACAATAATCAACCCAGGACAGAAGAAAAATCTCAATATAGCAAAGTAGCGGCGGAAAAAGACAAAGGGAAAAAGAAAATCTCTGATAACAAAAAAAATGGGAAGCAAGGATTCGTCTCAGGGGAGCAAAAAAAAGCTGTAACAATACAGAAAGTAAGTCCAGGAGAAAACAGAATCACTACAGGAGGGGACGAACATACCAACGTGAAAGTCGCTGGAACAAACTACAGAAATAAGACTACAAATAATCAGGAAAGCAGCAGGATAATTAGTCACGAAGACAACCAGTTAATGGAGGGAATAAGCTTTGAAACCCAAAGTCACGCGATAAAGGAAAATGAAGGAAAACCGAATCAACAAAATAGGCAGACACCAAGTGTTGAAAAAAATGATATGACTAGTCAAATGATAACAGATGGAGAGGAGCCTGATCTACAGGAGATGGCACTTATAAAAAGTTATTCCTATGAAGATGATAAGTTGGAATTGCAGGGGTGTGGGTAACCAAGATTTTATAAGAAACTGTAAAGCAATTATCTGGGAAGAGAAGCCAGCTATGGTTAGTCTACTGGAAACGAAAACAACAATAGGGATTGGGAAAACGCTACAAAAAAATTAAGTTTTGACAACAGCTTCGAAGTGTCGGCTAGTGGTTTACGTGGAGGGATCATCATTCTTTGGAACTCGAATCTTGTAGACATTAGAATCTGCTACAACACTGATCAAGCTATTCATTGCGAATTAAAGGAGGAGGACAAAATCTGGTTAACGTCGTTTGTCTATGTGCAACCCCACACAATCAAAAAAGAAGAATTCTGGAATGATTTGGGTAGTTATTCGGATACCATTAATAAACCGTGGATCGTCATGGGAGATTTTAATGACATTGCTTCTTTAGACGAAAGGGAAGGTAGCAATTCCGACTGCATTGACCGGATCATTAAATTTCGGGATCGCTGGGACAGATGCAATCTGCTGGACTTGGGATGGGCGGATAATAGATTCACCTGGGTGAGAAGACACAAAGGTCAGATTATTCTCCAAGAACAGTTAGACAGAGCGTTAAATAACACAGATATCTTGGATATTTTCCCAAACATTCACACGTCTACACTCCCCAGACAATATTCAGATCACCACCCAATTATGGTCAACACAAGCCTGACTCATATTATGGACAAGGATAAAAGACCTTTTAGATTCGAGGCTTTGTGGCTAACTCACCCTGATTTTGACATTACTTTCAACATAGCTTGGAACAGGAAAAAACACTCCATTATAGAGGCTATTGAAGAAACCGGAAAGGAGATTAAAATTTGGAAAATAACAGCTTTTGAAGACATCTTCAAACAGAAGCGATCGTTGCGTAACCGTTTAAAAGGCATTCAGAGATCCCCGAATTATATTCTTTCAAAAAGACTACAGGATTTGGAAAAGAGGCTCAGCGATGAATATCAAACGATGAATATCAAACGATTTTAAACCAAGAAGAGATTTTGTGGCTTCAAAAATCTAGATTAGATTGGGTTTTGAACGGGGAGCGTAATACAAAATTCTTCCACATTACTACTAAGATTAGACGGAAACGGAACAAAATTGTTGGATTATTCATAGATGACAATTGGGTCACTGATAAACAGAGTCTCGTCAGGAATATCGTAGACTTTTTCAGAAATCTTTTCTCTAGGAAAGAAATAGGTAATCTCACTGAAAGTTACGACAAATTCAAACCCCAGCTGAATGAGGAGGAAAAAGCTGCACTAATTAAAGATGCAACGAGTGAAGAAATCAAATCCGTTGTGTTTTCTATGAAGGGTTTGAAATCCCCGGGTCCGGATGGAATCCAGCCTATTTTTTACAAAAGAAACTGGGACACGGTTAAGGAAACTCTGATGCAATTTGTGAAAACAGCAAGTCTACTGGAGAAATCGACACTAGGATTCTGAAAGTGTACTTGTTGCTTATTCCTAAAACTGAAGTGGCGGACAGACTAACATTATTTCATCCTATAAGTCTGTTCAATACTTCTTATAAAATCTTGGCTAAAACTCTTGTACACCGGTTGAGACCTATATTACAAAGAGTGATAGGCCGTATCAAAATAGCTTTCTCGCTGGTAGAAGCACTACAGATAACATATTGGTGGTGCAGGAAGCGGTTCATACCATAATGCAACTCAAAGGAAGGAAAAGTACATCAATCATGAAAATAGACCTTCAGAAAGCTTACGATAAAGTTAATTGGGACTTCCTACATAAAACACTACAGGATTTCAATATTCCCGAAGAAACAATCTCCATCATCATGTTCTGTGTCAGATCCAGCAGTATTGATCCGTTATGGAACGGAGAAACGACTGAAAGCTTCAACCCAGAACAAGGCCTTAGACACGGAGACCCCTTATCCCCATATCTATTTATTCTTGTTATGGAACGGCTGTCACACATGATTTTAGAAAAAGTGGACAAGGGGAAATGGAAAGCTTTTAAAATTACGAGAAATGGAACTAACATAAGCCATCTTTTCTTTGCAGATGATCTTCTACTATTTTTTGAGGCCAAGGCGGACCAAGTGATCGAGGTTAGAAATTGCATGACAGAATTTAGCAATGCCTCGGGTTTAGAAATGAACCTCCAGAAATCGAAAATTTTTATATCGCCAAATATGAACATCGAGGCGGCAGATTACTTGAGTCAACTCAGCGGGGTTCCCCGGACAAATGACTTAGGAACTTACTTGGGAGTCCCTATCATTCATAAAGAAATACTTTATTGAGTGAGTTAAGTCGTTGAAATTAATTTTATTATATTTTAAGATTTTAAATTCAAGTAAATATGTTTGTCTGATGTGTTTGTGCTATCGATAGTTAAAAGAAATTATAAATAGTTATTTTTATTTTAATCATTCTATTAGTGTTAATATTTAAAAGTTAACTTAAATAATTTTTTTATAATATTATTAGTCATTCTAATTTGATAGCATATTAATGATTATCAATAAAATGATATGTTGATTTTAGAAAGAGGTCTAAGATGCACTAATCAAATTACCTCATAATTAAAGAAATTAGTATTGTTCTTAGAGGTCATGAGTTCGAGCACCAGCTACTATAAAGGTGATTGAGCGTTCATTGTCAAATGGTTGAAAACATATAGAATCGATACTGCTATGTAACATCAGCCTCTATTTGAACGAATTTATTGCCAAATGTGTTCCTAAAAGTCTCAGATTCGAGCATCAACCTCTGCAAATAGAGGTATTTGATCGCATTTATTGTCAAATAATTTAAAATCTTTATAATAAATAAATACTCACTACACATTTAGTCCCCACTCTATACAGTTAACCCAATTTAACCGACCTATCTTACCTTCCTTCATGCTACGGGCGACTCACCAACTTTGTCTCTAGGGAGTGCAACCCCTAGGAAATGTGGTTTCTTTCTTTCTTTCCATATTAGGGCAATAAAATCATTCCATGACGGTCGGAACATGAAGGAGATCAACAATTTCCATCCAGCATTACCACACGCCCAACCAAGCTTCGGATCCTATTCCATAACCGACTTTGCCAAGTTGTAAACCTACAAAATACTGTCCCAAACATGTCTACAGTAAGCACACTCAAAGAATAGGGTAATCATGAGTCTCAAGCTCATTCAAACCCATTATAAATATAAGTGTCATCAATATTCAATCTAAATGACATAAGCCGACTCATCGTAAGAAGTCTATCCAAAGATGCTATCCAAGATATTACCGAGTTATTTACTATGTAGATTGAACGACACACTAGTCTATCCTAAGAAATCCTTTGGAATGGCCTTCCAAATCGAAAAAATTAACACTAGAGGACCGACAAGGAGGTCTTTAATCGATGTAGGCTTAGATCTCAATTGAAGCAAACTCGTCCACATCCACCCACCCTAAGAAGAACCCCTAACTTGCTAAATGGAGCTGCCTTGTAACACATAACGATGAACTCCTGTAACGTAAATTGGTCCATCTTTAAGTAAGATTGTAACACTCTAAAATTGGGTTAAATTAGTTTGTTTGTAAATTTTTTAGTCTTGTTGTCAATTCTTTTAAAGACTAGAACGTAGGGTTCTAATTAACCCATAAAGTTAGGGCAAAGATACCCAAACACATCACGTTCAAATTTCCTGTTTCCCATTTCAAAAAAAAGTTATCGCGCATACTTTCTCTCCGTATTTCTCTTTCTTCATCACCCGTTTTTAATCTCGGTCGATTTGTTGTTAACCGTAAGGTGGTGTTCGACACATTAGTACAATTGTGTTCATCTCATCGACCCTGTTCAGTCGGTGTTATTGGATTGTCGTTGCCATCATCGTTTTGTAACTGGTGAAGATTCTAATATTTGAGTTTCATTAAAACCACATCTCCATCAATCTTTTTGGAAAATCGACGTTTGTAACTGACTTATCGTACCCCCAAATATTTTTAGGAAATTTCTAGACTCTTCAGCTACTAGAGGAGGCCCCACGCGTGGTGGTGTGCGACTGGGCTCACGCGACTGGGCTTTGTTCTGCTGATTTAGACAATGAACCTGTCTGACCTTGAACCGATCCTAAACCAGTTTGATCAAACCGCTGATCGAACCAGTTGACCCATTGACCCAACCTGCTGATCAAACTGCTATCGGATAGAGTAAAATCACAACTGATAATTTAAAAAAATAAAAATGAAGATAAAAGAGACACCAAATTTACGTAGAAAACCCCTAAATAATATAGGATAAAAACCATAGGCAACGGTAGAAGAATTTCACTATGAGAAAATAGGAATTACAACTTCTCTCGATCTACCAAGGAGAAAACAATGATAATTCTCTCTTGATAAAAAAGAGAAAACAACTCTTAAGAAACTCTCTAAATTCTCTAGTATTGGAAGAAAACTAGAATGCTTTGGGATGGTTTTGAAGCTAAATGAGCTAGGGTATTTATAGTTGAAGCTTAAGGACTAATCTTATAAATACCCTAAAGTACAATGACTAAATTGCGTAATTTACCCTTTACCAAAATTCAACAATTAGCCGCCCAATTTGAACCAAAGCCTTAGCCGTCGGCTGCTACTTTGATATTTCAACAATCTCCCACTTGAAGATTTGATTGGAACAATCATATCTTCACACCATTCTTTCTACCTTGTACCATCATGTTGCTTACGTCTCTGACAGGCCACAAGAGGATCGATACCAAGTAAATTTATCAACATTGATCGCCTTCGTCATGAAATCTGCTATGTTGTCTTTGGTATGGATCTTCTGCATATCTACTGTCCCTTCTTCCACCTTTTCACGAATGAAATGGTACTGAACTCGTATGTGCTTTGTTCTTGAATGAAATGCTGGATTCCTTGCTAGATCCAAGGCGCTTTGGCTGTCACAAAACAGAGAGACATACTCTTGATTGTGTCCAAGCTCCTCCAATAGCATCTTCAACCAAATTGCTTCTTTACTAGCTTGTGTAGCTGCTATATATTCTGCTTCTGTTGTGGACGTAGCCACAACTGACTGCAATTTTGAAACCCAGCTTACAGCTCCACCAGCAATTTTGAACACATATCCTGTAGTAGATTTGCTTTTATCCAAATCCCCTGCATAGTCAGAATCTACATACCCATTGATTAGTAAGTTTGATTCTCCGTAACATAATGCAACATTTGAGGTCTCTTTGATGTATCTCAGGATCATCTTTATAGTATTTCAATGCTCTTTGCCTGGATTCACCATGTACCGACTAACCACTCCCACTGCTTGTGCAATGTCTGGTCTTGTGCATATCATAGCGAACATTAAACTTCCCACTGCTGATGCATACGGTACTCGAGATATCTCCATCATCTCTTCTTCACTGCTAGGACTCATACTGGAGGATAATTTGAAGTTAATAGGAAAAGGGGTAGAAATTGGCTTATAATCTTGCATGTTGAATCGTGACAAGATCTTATTCAAATAATTCTTTTGTGAAAGTCAAATCTTCCTATTACTTCTGTCTTGGTGAATTTGTATCTCTAGAATCTTGTTTGCTGATCCCAAGTCCTTCATTTCAAATTTCCTAGCCAGTTGTTCCTTCAATTCTTCAATATGATCTTTATTGGGTCCTGCAACCAACATGTCATCCACATACAACAACAATATAACAAAATCGTTATCACCAAACCTCTTGAAATAAGCACAAGGGTCTGCATTAAGTCTGTTATATCCAAGGCACATAATGAATGAATCAAATCTCTTATACCAACACCTCGGCGCCTGCTTTAGACTGTACAGAGATTTGTTCAACCTGCAAACCAAGTTCTTCTTTTCTTCTTCTTCAAAACCTTCTGGCTGGAGCATGTAAATCTCTTCTTCAAGATTTCCATGAAGAAAAGCTGTTTTAACATCTAGCTGCTCAAGATGTAAATTCAATGTAGCACACATTGCCAAGACTACTCGAATTGTTGTTAGTCGAACCATAGGAG